CCTGGGAAGGCGCAACGTATAGCCGTTCGAATGGGAAGAAAAATCGAGATCCTGTGAACACATTGGCATTTACGTAAAAGAATCCTTTACAGTTGGAATTCGATATGAGAGTAGGCAGTAGTGTCGCTGTCCGGGTTTTCCCTCATAGCAAACTGTACAGCGTATGCCCTTCTTCGTTAGCCCAATTGGAGAAGAACAGTAGGAACTTTAACCCCATTTCATTTCTATTTGCCGCACGATTTTTTTGTAGAGCTGCACACGGCTCAGGTTGAAAAAACTATAAGTAAAATGTGGAAGTAATGTAATCCTTTTTGTTTATTGACATAAATATGTTAATTGTTAATTGAAGTGAAGTGGTACACTACTATATATATAATTAACCAAAGCATCATGCCCGTCTTCATTAGCCCAGTCGTTGCAGAACAGTTGGACGCCAAACCCCATTTCTTTTCATCTCTAGTATATATAAAGTTGTCGCCTTCTAGTTGAAATGTGAAACCCAAGTCACCCCTAGAGAATTATGACGGATGTATTGCACGAAGTAGAACATTCTTGCTAATTCTACAGGATGTTCTACAATGTCGTGGGGGGGGGGGGGGGCGAATAGTTAACGCGTGCGCGATGCATCATAAGGTCTGTCATTGAGCCAAGTAGGGTGGTTTCGATTTCCCGCAAGTTTGTGTCGAGTAGACGTTAAACTCCTGATTCCCCGCAAGTTTGTGTCGAGTGGACGTTAAACTCTCGTTTCCCCGCAAGTTTGTGTCGAGAGGACGATCTCTCCCCCCCCCCCCCCCCCTCTCTCTCTCTCTCTCTCGCCCTCTCTACAATGTTGTAGCTTTGTACGACGATCTTAGGTTCATGAACTATCCACTAATTACCAGTTTCCTGTTTGCAAATAGCGTTAGAATCACGTTACACATCTTATTTTTTTCCTTGTTATGTCGGATGTCAAATTGACTTAAGAGTTTACAAACAGAAAATATATCTTTTATTACGTGATTGGGGGGTTGTTTTCAATTCGTTTAATCTAATCGACATTTGCATTTTTCAAACAAATTTTTCACGGCTTAAACATACATTATGCAAGACCAAAATCTGTCTATTGCAGGTCTTTCTTTAGGCCTGAAATGTTATCTAAATTATTAATTAGACATTAATTAACTTATCCAGACCATAATAAACTCTCGATGTCAGGGCTAGCATTCGATGTTGGCTGGATTAGATAATTAAATTTTTAAATAGTGGATAATCGAGACTATGCTGTTTATATTAATGATTTTAGTAATGATGACCGAGACTATGCAAAAATTTCACCCGCTTCTTTCTCGGCTCATAGTGGATCAATTTGACTGAAATTTTCAGCAAATTACCTTTACACTATCTAGTTTTTAACTATTATAGCGAGAACTGCCATCTCGTTATCTTATCTCCCATAATGTATCTTTAAAAAACGTTAAAATGTACTTAAATTGATTATTCAACATTTAATTAAGAACACCAAAAAATATCAATAACTAGCGGGATGACCCGTTCCTGCACGCGTTGGAAGTATTATAACCCCGAAACCGGAAGTGGTAGTCCAACGCCACCAGGCCTATGTTACCCCTCGGTCCGATCTACCCCTTATACAACAAATTTCAGCCTCGGGGACAGCCCAAGTGTAGCCAACAATCCTGAACGCAGACAGACACACGACGGTCACAAATGATAGTATACTTAGATTCAATCGGACAAAAGCGAGGCCTATATCATGGGTGGCGCTCAGCTGCAAATGGTACCGAATGTTGTAATTTTTTCAATTCATTATATCTTTGTATATACTGAGGATTGGTATTCCTTTTAAAGATTCAACCACTTTTACTTTATTGTACTTTTCTAGGGATTCCTCAATCTCTCAAATAACGTTCAGAAACATTAATCTGTAATTAAGGTGATATTAAGTAAGATTTCGATAATGGTCTTGCCATGTTCATAAATGTGTAGTTGATAATTTATATAACATTTAAGGCCCAAAAGAAAGACCTGCAATGGGCAGATTTAGCTCTTATATAATGCCTGTTTAAGGATTCAAACGTAGTATACTTCTCTGACACCTAGAGACTTTTGGCAAGGGGAATTATTCCCATCCGTATCACGTATCCGTATCGTCACGTGATACGTTCGTCAATGTAGTTTTGGAGTTTTGGCTGATTTTCTCGCCGCGTACGTAAGACTAAGAGTAGCCGAGCTGAGTGTAGTTCTATTACAGCATGATGGCAGTTATCTACCATCCGTTCTAGTCAAGTGCTTAGCCTACAAATTATATTCTCTCGTAAGTCGCTGAGCTATAATTAAAAAAAGATTATATCGAATCTTATTAAAAAAATCTTCGACTTGGATTCAGCAGCAATGCTTGGTTTCACTAATGTATCATTTCAGAAATTTTATACCCTTTACCATAGAATCACATCATTTACAGATTTGCAAGGTCCCACTTTCCTAAAGCGTAGATCAACCAGCAAGCAGACAGGCAGAACAAATATGAAAATCCGAGAAAAACTAATCAAAAATAAGGATTCAATTCCAGTCTTTATCATGGTTAAAACCACATCAAATATACACCTTCGTGTTCTAGGATACACATAGATTCATAAAAGCTCTATGACACAACATTTCAGGGTCTAAAAGTAGAAAAAAGACGACGATGTTTTCGGAACTTTCCGTATGAAACTGTTCGATATGTGCTGCCGTGTCCGTGTGCCGTATCACGTATGAGAAATACACACACATTGATGACGGGACACGCAAAGTCGATACGAATACGCGATACGAACCATGAATTTACGCTTGGCAAAAGTCTCTATTACTGAGATTTTGCTACGATTAAAATAAGATGAAAAGAAATGTGGTTTACCGCCCCACTTTATATATCACACCAACTGGGTTATTGAAAACGGGCACACGTCATGCAATGTTCTATTCGGAAACTTTCGCCCGGATAGCGGCGTTTTCGCTCATTCTTCACCAAATTAGAATGATCATTGGTTCTTTTACATACACGCCAACGATGGTTCATCCTGGTTTTCGTGTCTTCCAAAAGGCTAACTACCCTTTACCGTGGCAAGCCACCCACCCTGCATCACTGACGGGAGGAAACGATTTAACAAATTTACTTTGACGGGAAACCCGTGACCTTTTTACGAGTACATGTATATAGACTGTAATAATGTCGTTATATAATTTGACAGTGAATAATTTTGTTGTACCATGAGTTCAGATGGTGACATTTAATATTTAGCGAACGTAACCTTTACATCAGACAATTTACAATTGAATAATTTTATTATAGAGTACCAGTCCTCTGGTCGTTTAAAATTATTATAGACATTTTCTAATACATGATAATACAGAAAAGTCCATAGTTATCAACGGGGGCCGCGGTGACTCAGTGAGTAAGACGTTGGCTCGCTAACCTGGAGGTCCCGTGTCGATTCCGGTGTTGGCCGAGAAAGTTCATCTGGATTTTCCAGCGTGGTTCCACTTTTGGTTCGCCCTTGTCAATGATGCAGTCGTTCGGGTGGGCCGAAAACCCGAGTTTCCGTGTACGTATTTGCTTGCACAAAAAGAACCCTTGGCAGTTGGAATTCGTTATAAGAGTAGACCCTAGTACCGCTGCCCGGGCAAAATTCCTCCCATAGCACACTGTATGGCGTATGCCCTTCTTCATTAGCCCAATTGGAGAAGAACAGTAGGAACTTTAACCCCATTTCATTTCTGTTTGCCGCACGATTTTTTTGTAGAGCTGCACACGGCTCAGGTTGAAAAAAATTAGAAGTAAAATGTGGAAGTAATGTAAACCTTTTTGGTTATTGACATAAATATGTTAATTGTTAATTAAAGTGAAGTGGCACACTACTATATATATAATTAACCATAGCATAGTAGATAATAATCTGTTCTCTAAATGAGAATAATATTTATGGTAATTACTGCATAGTTAGCGCTTCAAAGGGTTAAAAAGGACACGACCTCTTAAGTAGGACAACACAACAATGACACGAATTAATTAGTTTGGACTAAAACAAGTAAGTCTTAATGTTTGTTTGGGTATTTCTTACTGTAAATAGTAATCAGTTATTTTATGCTGTTCCTAAATCCAAACTACGCTGGTCCAAATGAGTGGAATAAAATACCTTTAAAACTAGCCCCAATATTAGAACAACTTTCAAGAAACGTTTAAAAACAGAATATTTTCGAATTAATTTAGGTTATGTTTTGTGTATGAAACGCGTATAGTTTGTGAATGTCTGATAATTTAATTTTGTTTTACTTGCATGTGCTTGTTATCTATGTCATATCCTTTGTAGTTGTTCTGGTCCGGTAGCTATGCTAGAGGGAAATTTTGGCCTATATTTATATCGAATTCCAACTGTCAAAGGATCTTTCGCGTGCACTCCAAAGTATACACGGGACATCAGGTTTTTTTTATCCCATTCGGACGACTAGACAGCTGTCCTTGCCAGGCCCACTGTCCTGCACCACTGGAGAAAAAGACTATATTGAAATTTTCAGTCAAATTACTTTATTCTGAGTGTTTGAAGTTTTGACAATATAGTTTCAATTGTACTATTGCTACGATAATAAACCAAGTCAGATTATCTATTTTAAATGGCGGAAGGTTCCGAATTCATTCAATATCTAAGCCATAATGTCATCCTGACAAACAAACTTTCCCTAATCGTAAATTGCACGGCGTATGCCCGTTGTCAATAGCCCAGTTGGTGCAGAGAAGGTGGACGTTACACCCCATTTCATTTCACTTCCCATACTGGAGGTAAGGAGATAAGGGAGAGGGGTGTACCCATCGATGCGGTTGCCTCATTGCACAATCTCGTCAATCTGCGTCGTCAATATTGTGACGATCGAGCATTAAGCCTCCCCGTCATTATTAATAGCTTCTAGAATTTACTGGTTCTATTTTCTAACCTCTCTGTGTATGTATACTATTAACTTGAGTAGAATCTTGTTACTGGCTGTGCACAGCACGCGAATAACATACAACAGCTGTCTCTAGTTACACCCCTCTTCGTTCAACTCTAGAACATAAAAAAGATAGATTTATAACATTGTGTTTAATTGTTCACTAGTTCTAATTAACTCGGCTAGAATCATGAGAGGTTTATAACATTGTGTTTCATTGTTCTCATGCTCTGATTCCAACTCCGAGAGAAAAACAGATGATAATTTCGGCGGCTCAAGGTAAGATAAGTTCTATTTCCCTTCACCGGTTATATTTAGAGAACATATTTGCAATGGGTTCTTATTGTCAAGGTTCAGACTCCAGACTTAAAGACGATGTATATAGTCGAAGAACACCTACATTCAAGTTGCACTTTAAACAATGGTTAGATAGAAACCAAGGTACTTGTTTTATATTATAGCGGCAAAGGGATTAAAGACTATATTATAGTCAGTTATTTTACTGCATATATTCTTAAAGGAGTTAAGTCTCTAATTCAATATTTTCCATAATTAACAACACAAATTAGAATTCATTATTGGTCAATTTCAATCAATATTGATGTTGTTATCTTGCCGTAAAAACATCGGATCTTATCCAATATTCAAGATATAATTAACATTTCATAACCAGTACACGAGTCGTGTATTCTATAGTTTCGGGTGCCATTTTTGTTATGAACAAATAAAAAAAAAAACCTACAAGACAATGTGAAAGTAATTAGTAAAGGCTGATTCACAAATGACAAAATAATGATAAAAAGAAAACGTGTAGAATGGACTAAGTAGGCAGGCGGGAACGACTGCCATTCAATTTAAAGTGTTCACGTATTTCACCGAACATAGTTGATTAGAAATTACAATATTTTTTTCAAAAATTGAATATAAATCACTTAACATACATTCATATTACATTAATATGTGCTTTCAGCAGAACCATTTTCGTCTATTTCAAGCTAACAAAAAATAGAGCCATACGCCCCTTTAAGTGAAGTTAGAAATCGGAATAACAGTAAAGGCAGTGTATGAAATGTTGTTTTCTAGGGACGTCGATTGTCTTGGTCTTGGAGAAGGCGACTAGTATTCGAGATAATACTCTGTTGGTTGATGTGTTTTACCTTGACATTTAGCCACATGGCATACTCATTGGGCTTTACACAAAGTAACGCTAGGAGAGGTGTCAGCGTAGACTACAGGAATTTTGGAAGATTTCCGACCCTTTACGGCATTGAAGCATTTTTAAGTTCTTTCACTCCGTAAACAATATTCCTTACGCTGACAGACATAGCTACTTCTAGATCTAGACACAGCTACTCCAAGAACCGACAGAAACGGCTACTCCTAGATCTGACAGACGCTGCTACTTCTATAGCGCTAACAGACTCGGCTGCCCCTAGAGCTGACACACGCGGCTACTCCCAGGGTTGACAGACGCATCTAATCCTTGCGCTGACAGCCGCGGCTACTCCTAGCGCTGATGGACGCGGCTACCCCTAGACCTGACACATGCGGTTACGCCTAGGGCTGGCAGACGCAGCTGCTCCTTGGGCTGGCACGGACAGGCGTGGCTACCCCTTGTGTTGATAAACGCAGCCACTCATTACTCATAGAACTGATAGGAGCAGCTACTTCATACGTTGACCTAGGTCTTCCAAAAGGAGAAAATGGGGTGTAAAAATGATACGATAGATTGTCTGGCCACGAAGCGTTCCAAATAGCTGCTGGATGATTGTTAAAGGATGTTGAAGGGAATCGAATCCCATAAAGGATTGGAAATCCCCCAAAACAGGGACTTTCGGGGATTGACTTACGACACGGAATGCAGAAAGATTTTCTTCTTCTCGTAAAACAGTTTTCTATTTTGACTCAGACCAGATAGCTCGTGTCCTCTGTAACACTCCAAAGCTCGCATTATCAACCAATTATCAGAGATGTCATTATCATTCAGAATATATGTTGGCATTATCAGTACCTATACTGTACACTAATTATATACTTTGAAACACTTCAAAGCTCACATTATAAAGCAATTACCAGAATATCATTATCATTCAGAATATACGTTGGCATTATAAATACCTACTACCACAGAATTTTATACTCCCCTACTTTATAATAATTAACATAGTGTGTGTCAAAATTCCAAATAGTTCCAAGTTATTCAACATTTCCTGTACAACTATCAACATGGACCATCGTGTACAGACCGGCAAAAATTTCTCCTTTTTGACAAATTCTGCCTCAGTTAAAGGAGCTAAATCGCTAACATTTGGGACCTAGAAATTGACAAAAGTGGGTCGCAACGCATATAATACTGTAATATGAATGTATATAAACTGATTTACATTCAATGGTTTCCGTTTTTACTCCAATTTCAAATCAGTTATGTTCGGCGAAATAAGCCAGCAGTCTCAAGCGAGTGCAAATTTCTAGCGTCTGGTTATTCCAGTCTACATACGCCGTTTGATTTGGTGCAATGTATCTAGCCTCGTCCCTCGAGTCTCTTGATACAACTGGGGCTGAAGCGCATTATGGTACACGATTCGTGTACCAATGGTAAAATGTTTATTTTGTCTTAAATATTGGATATAAAAAGCCCGTCTTTTTCCGGTAAGATCACAACATGAATGTTGATTTAATTTTACAAATAAATCGTGTTTTCAATTTTGAAGATTTTGGATGATATTGAGTTAGAGACATAGCTACTATGTGTCCATTTTGGGAGACTAATAGGCCTGGAATAAAATAACAAATAATAAAAAAAAGAAATATGTTGTTAGTTCGATAAAATTTTCAGAAAATCTATAAATTATTGTTTTCTGCATTTTATATAATTGGTATCACGAGGATACTCCCTGCCCCCCCGCATTTTAAAATGGCGAATCGTGTCCTGTATAGATAAGAGACTGTATTTATGTGGCATTAATCAATGATATCATATTGATCTGTAAATATGTCGCCATGCTGATATGGTTTTTTGTTTTCATCCACTTAACTTGGCTGATTACCATCTGGAACATTTACGATAAGATTAGAGAGAGTTCTCTTCCATGTTCAGGGGTTTATAAATTATATGGACTAGCTACCGAACATGACTTCATCACAAATGGTGTAAGGCATATGTACAAGGTGCTTAGTGAGTATGTCATTGGTAACGCTGGGAATTTCCTGTGTGTTTTTTACGGGTTTTATATGGACCAGGAACCGTGTATAACGTCATCGCTAATGGAGTAAGGACTGTGTACTGGTAGCTTGGTCAGTATTTCATTTGTAAGCTTAATTAGGAGAACCCGTTGTTCGGGAATTTCCAATCTAGGTTCCTTTTGTCAGTGATACAGGGCGGAGGGTCTTGCAAGGAAAACCTTCTAGTTGTTCAAATGGGTCCTGTGTATATCTCAGAAAGGACATTAAGAATCCTCTAACAAGAGTAGGCCGTAGTGCCGCTTTAAGGGTAAAATGGCGTATGCTATTCTTCATTGGCCCTGTTGGTGCCGAACAGTAGGCAGTAAAACCCCATTTCATTTCATTTGAGGGATAATTTGCCTGGACAGCTGTTTTTCCGTGTGTGTGTGTAGGGGGGTTGGCGAATGGTTAGCGCGTGTGCGTTGTTTCATAAGGTATGTCATTCAGTCAACTGGTGTGGTTTTGATTCTCCGGTTGTACATGATAAGGAGTACGGTCGCCTCTCCTATCTCGTGGGTTTTCTCCGGGTCCTCCCTCTGCCAAAGACCCCTACGCGCATGGGAATTATTGAAATAAAATTGAACCATATGTTAGTCCCGAAATGACTTAGTTTGTGTCGAGTGGACGTTAAACTCTCTCTCTCTCTCTCTGTCTCTCTGTCTCTCTCTCTCTCTCTCTCTTGTCCTCAATGAGGGCCAAAGGAAACCAATTGCTTTAAGGGTGGAGACATACCAAGTCTGCGCCTGTTTATGGGTCTTGGGCGTGAGGTTCCAGTGAAAAGGTTATTTTTACGTATCGATTTTGTCCCCCCCCCCTCTCTCTCTCTCTCTCTCCCTCCCTCTCTCTCTCTCTCTCTCTCTCTCTCTGTTTCCGTCTACTCATCGTTGAATTCCAACTGGTATATATACTAGACGTCTAGACGATTTCCCAATTGAACATAGAGTTATATTTAAAAATCGCATACCTTTAATAAACAATGTAAAGAGAATGTAAACAGAATTAAAATATGTTCTGCCATTTATAGAATCTAGTCTTCTATAAGTAATATGTTTACATGTTGTAGATATTATAATGAGATTAACACACCTCTCTTCAACAATTCTACTTGTGGCTGCAATTTCTTTCGCAGCGGTAATGTGAACGTTTTCTTTTAACTCTGTACGAGACGACTGACCATTAAGTTCACATCATAACATTGTTTAAACATGCATTATGCAAGAGCAAAATCTGCTTATTACAAGTCTTTCTTTAGGCCTGAAATGTTATCTAAATTATCAATTAGACATTAATTAACTTATCCAGACCATAATAAACTCTCGATGTCAAGGCTAGCCTTCGATGTTGGCTGGATTAGATTCCTATATGCCGCTAACGGCTATTGATAATTAAATCAATAAAAGTGGATAATCGAGACTATGCTGTTTATATTAATGATTTTAGTAATGATGACCGAGACTATGCGAAAATTTCACCCGCTTCCTTCTCGGCTCATAGTGGATCAATTTGACTAAAATTTTCAGCAAATTACCTTTACACTATCTAGTTTTTAACTATTATAGCGAGAACTGCTATCTCTTTATCTTATCTCCCATAATGTATCTTTAATAGAATGTAGACACACAAAATGGTCCTGGTGGAATTGGTGGCTTTTACTCATTTTACACATTGTTTTAGAATTTAATTTGCAAAAGAAAAAATGTTAATATTGAGAGCTAGTTAAATCGCTCCGATGTCATCCCTGTCAGTTATAGTAGCCGATGTCAGTCATTCATCCCTGACAAACGAATATTTACTGTAGATCATATAGGAAGTCTTCATCATGGGAGGCTCGGTTGTATAATAAGAGGAATTTGGATTAAAATCTTGAACCCATGAACATAATATTCGCTAGGAACGGATGATACAGACCATCTTGTCCTAAACCAGCCAACTGGACACTGCCCAGAGGGTTTGTTTAACATCCACTTGTCACGTAGGTTAGGTAGGTGGCCCTACGCTTGGGATTGAAACCACGTCAATTGACTCAATGAATGATAGATTAACATGTAAATATATATGTACGTGGAATAGTTTATTTTATTAGTGCCATGTAAAATGCACAGATTCAGTTTATTTAATTTCAAATGAAGACGGACATGCACCATACAGTGTGCTATGAGGGGCATTTTGCCCGGACAGCAGTACTACGGCCTACTCGATATATCGAATTCCAACTGTCAAGGCTTATTTTACGTGCACCCCAATTTATACACGGGGCCTGGGTTTTTGACTTAACCCGAACGATTATATGTTGCCCCTTGCCAAACCCTCCGCCCTAATTCACGGATAAGTGGGAGTCCGATCGGAAAATCCTGATGAACTTTCTTGGTCAACACAGGGATCGAACACGGGACCTTGCCAACGTCTTACTTACTTAGGCAAGTTCAAACTTAATAAACATTAACAATACCCATTTGCCTTATCATTGGATTTATGGTCTCATGCAAATGGCTATCAACTGATTTAAACTTTATCTTTGATTCCACGGTGTCTGCCACTTTTCAAATCCATGAATGCTGTTTTAAAATAATTGTCTAGTAAAATATATTTTTAAACTTATAATAAAAAAAATAGCATCGTTATATCTATTTAGTAAATAAATACAGATATGATAGAGTAATTACTGGGTTGTCGACATCCGTATGTTGTTAAATACCACTGAACTCAGATTACCACCCGGTAAGGTGATATGACATCACTCTGGTGTTTAAGATATCTCGATATTCCGACACCATGCATCCCAGGAGATAAAGTGTTTTGAATATCCTTGATATTATGAAACCATACATCCCGGGAGATAAGTGTCAGATATCTATTTTTAGTATCATATATCTATGGAAGGGTATAAGGGTCAATAGCGCAAAAGATACCGCGATATTAATAACATAATATTGACCCTTTTACGTTTCCGTAGATATCGCATGGCTAAGAACAGATACTCAAAGGTTTGAAATACTGCGTGCGATTCCGGAGACCCTTTTGTTAAAGATGCATCATGAAACGGTCTGTTACAGCGAGTTCTTGTCGTGCGATGCACGAAACTGTGGGTGTCCTACTAGAAACATCAACGTTGATTGGTTAATCAAATGTCTGACGTCATAAGGTCAAACGCCACTCGTATGACCCCTGACGCGACCTCCCACTACAACTGATCAGATCTTCATGTACTAGAGGCCATCGAAAATAAAAAACGAAACGAAATATAGATCTGTATTTTAACCAGATTGAATGTGAAAGTTGAATCTCTAAAAAACTAAAAGTCCAAACAATGGTTCACTTTTGTTAAGTATTTACAAACAAATGAGTAGATGAAATCTGTCGACATTCGGCATCCTCTGCAGAGTAAATAAACGGGTTTCAGTCCAAAAAAAACAGCCAAACCTATGATCTGCATTATGGACCTCTTGTTTGTTCGATTGAATCCCAGCCGGGGTATTATTACCTACGACTGATGTTGGGATTCTGATTTCTTACGTAAATGTTATATAATCATTTGAGTACATTTTGGCGTGAACTAAGGAGAGGGAAATTTGATATTCACCGTCAAATGCAACGAACGCATAGTGACTTTAAGCATAATGTATTATTATACATTTTCCTTTTCGGAAAGCCACGCAACCAACATATCCACCGGATACCCGTCATCACCCGCCCCGAATCTCTCATACCACCTAAACCAATCTGAATATCATGTAGATATTAAACGATATTGTATCTTTATAAAATTTTTCAGATATATCTTTCAAGAGCTGGTAATGACTGCAGGTAGCTATAGATGTGGAAATTATGCTGTGAAAAACAATGATATAATATTTTGATTTAGCGGGAGTCGTGCATACTGGAAGTTATGTTTTTGTCTGCGTAACAAAGTGTTTCCATGGTAATGGGTCTAAAGAATAACATTGTACTGTTTCACCACATGAAATATTCATGTTGACAAAACAGACTTTAACTGTGAGAACTGGAGAAGAACCACAGAAAAAACTTTATTTAATGCAATACGCGATCGATATTCAAAATAATATATGAAAGTTTTCCTTTGACTGCACAGCAGCGATTTTAAATTTTCTTCCAAGTGGATAATTTGTGGTAACGGAAGAAGAACCACAGAACACTGAATTAAGTAGAATAAGCGATCTACATTCAAAACGGAAACTTTCGTCGGACTAAACCGCAATTCATTGGCTGTGCAAATTGTGATCTATAAAAGATTTCATCATATTAAAACGATTGGACTTTAAAGGCACAATTCCATTTCTGGATCAGTTTGAGTTTAAACGCATCTACGAACAACACAAACCTTTAAATCATGTTGGAGATAATATTAAGTTTCGTTAACCCTCAAACCACAACTGTATTGATATTTGTATGTGTGCTGTTATTGGTGCGATACGCGTCTAAAAAACCGGCCAACATTCCACCCGGACCACCCTTGATACCGTTCATCGGCTGTCCACAGATATTTATAAGCTCTATGAAGAAAGCCGATACAAGACAAGTTTATAAACTATTCAGAGAGAAATATGGAGATGTTTTTAGTTTTTATTTAGGAAGTAGACTGATTGTTGTAATCAATGGATTTAATTGTTTAAAGGAAGCATTTGTAAAGAAAGGAGACGTATTTTCAGACAGACCTCATATGTTTACCACTGATAAAGTTGGACAGGGACGCGGTAAGTTGACCTTTATGGAATTTTATGTTTTAAATTACAATGCCTTTGACAAAATCGCGACAAAAATTGCTTCCTGTCGCTTCTTCTTGGCATCGATCATACAAACAGATGTAATGAAATTAAAAGTGTTTACCGTCCTATTGTTCTGCATTAACTGAAGATTGAATCAGATTGAGCCTCGATTGAAAAATTAGACGCTGGACCTTTCTAGGGGCACTACGTTCTGGGGTCTGTTTTAGTAATTTGATTGGATAATATACGATTGATTTTAGTGCTTAGCCAATCAAAACCGAAGTATCTACTAAAATTTGGATTTTATCTTTAGTTAAGATTTCGTGAAACAGGGCCCAGGTCCGTATCGCGTATCCGTTTGGATTCCGCGTGTGACGTCATCAATGTGTGTGTATTTCTCATACGTGATACGGCATACGGATACGGCAGCACGTATCGAACAGCTTTAATACGGAAAAGTTCCGTATAACATTGTTATCTTGTTACCGTCTTTTTGCTACTTTTAGACGTTGAAAGGTTGTGCCGTGGCGTTTTTATGAAATCAATGTGTATCCTAGAACACGACGGTGTATGTTTGATGTGATTTTAATAATGATAAAGACTGGAATGTCATCATTATTTGTGATGTGTTTTTCTTGGAATTTTCATACTTTTCCTGCCTGTCTACATGCTGCTAAATTTAGGGAGGTGGGACCTTGCAAATCTGTAAATGATTTTGTTCTATGGTAAAGGGATACAAACTTTCAGAAATTGCTATCGAATCGAAGTCGAAGATTTTTAATAAGATTCGACATTACATTTTCTTTTTTAATAGCCCAGCGACTTGTAGGCTAGGCACTTGACTAGTACAGATGGTAATGCTGTAATAGAACTAAGCTCAGCTCAGAGACGCATAAGTACGCGACGCGAAAAATCTGCCAAAGTTCTAAGCTCGGTTCATACTACATCCGTATCCATAAACGTATCCGTATCTGCACCCGCATCCGTATCCGCGTTTTGCCGTTCAAATAGAAAACGCGAAAACGTCCGGCTTTCAAGGCTGAATTGTCTGTCAGAGATTGAGTTTCTATTTGGGGAGATGACTTAATAAGGGGAAAGTACTCGCTGATTGGCTAAAGCTCGGCTCACTAGCCGAAATGCCGGACGCACTTTACAAAATACGCTTTGGGAGCAATCAATCCGGCTTAACGGACGCAGTTGTTTTTGTGCGCAATACGTGCCGGATTCTATTTGATCCCTTTATCTAAAAATGACTAAAGTATACCAGTACGTATTCACGCACGTATTTACAGATACGGATACGGATGTAGTATGAACGGACCTAACTACATTGACGCAACGTATAGCGTATACGATACGGATAAGTGATACGGATGGGAATATTCCTCTTGCCAAAAGTCTCTAATGATTGATTCATTCGGAAAATTAGGCTAACAAAGATTAATTTTCGGGCAAATTTCCCCTATGTCTATGATTTTACTGTCACTGGGACTGGGATATTAGACGATTAGGGTGGATGCTGGGGTATAGTTGTTCTAATAAATCTGCTATTGTTTAAAATTAATTCTAGATGTTTCCTCGGTGAAGTCAGTGTGCCCTTTTGAATCAACTTGCAGCAACTGTTATGAATTTGATTTAAGGGCATGTTATTCCAACCTTACAAGATTCCTAACATTGAGAACTGATGTAAAATAAATAAACAGTACTCTTTTAAAACAAAACAGAAAACTATATGTTGCGCTGTATCATGCAACACAAGATAGTGAACGTGGAATACACTTATGATATGTTCTGACATTGGAGAATATTGTCTTACCGACAAGGTCTAGAAAATGTATGACAAGTATAAGCTGTAATAAGATTATACTTGGGGAGTTTATAAACTGCGCACTAATAATACAATAATCATTGTCGAAGAGGCTTGTTTATCTGTAAATAATTAGCGTTTATCTATGGTGTTCTGTTTTGGCCACTTCCTGCGTCGCGCGTCGTGCGTTGGCCTTTTCAATGTTAGAGAAAAAAAAGCGACGTCGACTTTTTATCAAGACGTCGCACTTCGCGTCGCGTCGCCCTTCGCTTTTTCTAAACCGATATTGTTTATAGTTTTGGTGATGAAATGCGCATATGTACCAAGATAATTCATTTGCAGTTTATTTGCCGTTTGGTATTATCTTCAATACAGTAATTTATATTAGACACAAGGAACTGCCATTAACATCCTTTATATAACAAGACATTTCTATAATACCCAGATTTGATATATCAAATCTCAGTTCTAAACTAAATCGTAAACACTAGTGTGATTGAGTGACCTCGTGCTCTCTGTAGATACAGTTATTCACTATAGTTAAACAAACGATGACAGGGTACTGTTAACGGTGTCAGTATGGTTTCCGTTATTTACATCAGTTGTTTTATAGGTTCTCAAGTGATGTATTACTTATAGTATGAACATGAACATTCCTTGACATTTTTATAGACAAAATTAATACGAGAATATATATATATTTATTTTTGTGGTTAACCTCCGACGAGTGTATTAGCAACCCCGAAGAAATCAGATTAAGACCGATGTTGAAAGAATCCAAGATTACGTTCATTCTTCTGAACTAGTTAACCTTGACACGCTGTCTGTAATCATTGAATGAATTATGAGAACGAAAGTTAGCTAATAGCAGGGCCCTCACAATCCTATGTGGCGCCCCAGGGCAAAAGTTTCAGTGACGCCCCCCCCCCCCATTGAATATAGGAACTGCTTTGTTCAGTGTCTGCGCTCAGTTGATTTTTTTTTTTTTATGAAAAATCATAATTCAACCCTCTCTATTTGCTAAATTTATGAACTGGTTTACACACGGTTCGGGACATACTGATCAGAAGTGAATTTTCGCTAGGCCGCTACAATCACTGATAAGGATGACATCGATGCGACTTAATGGGCCAGAAATATTAACTTTTTTCCTGCGACAAATTAAATTCTAAAACATTTTTTTTATGTATTGGAAAAATAAATAAAGGCGTTTGACGTATTTGTAGGTAAAAATTATTTCCTATTTAGTGTAAAATTAATGTGTATTAAAATGACTAAAAGGCAGCATTCTCTCCGAAGCAGTAACGTCTTATGTAAACAATGCACGCGCCATTCAGCCAATGATTGGCGCCGCATGCTGTGACAGCACGTGTTAAGGCAGTCATCTTTGACAGAGATTTTACCATATAGACTCGTAATTCTCTGTGAAACAGATTGGGTTCGAGGAAGCGAAGGCCGGCAATTTGTTATCTCGGCCTCCAAGGAGGCTAGTCCATCCACAGGATCCCCCTTTGCATATTTCTAGTAAGCCCTCAGTTAATTTGCCGCCCCCAAGAAGTGTCGCCCCGTGCATATGCCCCGCTCAGTATGTTTTCCGTCCTATTGGAACAACTACAGTATATAGCTGTCTTTGTCAGGCTCTTCGTCCTGCACCACTGATAAGGGAAAAACCACGCCGGAAAATCCCGATGAACTTTCTCGGCCAACACTGGGATCAAACCCGCGGCCTCCAGGCTAGAGAGCCAGCGTCTTACTCAACTTAGCCAACGTGGCTCCAAACATCATCGATCTATGCCGCTCGCTATGTTGTCCGCCAATAATTATTGATGAACCTATTTAAAAGCCCATTGAATCCAAGATGCGACATTATCTAGCGTTGGTATTTTGAATGTGTTTTCTTAATTGAATGTTAAATAATCAGTCTCAGTACATATTAGCACGTATTAGAGATATGGGTTCCCGCGTACAAACTGGGTGATTTAATGGTATATATGGACTAAAAACATATTCAAACTAATTAATTTGTACTAACTTTGCTTCAAATCCTTCTCAAACATTGTAATTGCGAAGGAATGTCCTGTTATAAAAGTTCGATCAAACCAGGTCATCTTTACGTCACGTGACTTACCTCTCTTGGAAGTCAGAGGAGAATTCATTGCATACATAAGACGATGTTGTCTTTAATCGCTTACTATTTATTACAAATATCGAATTCTAATTAAATTCTCGGAGTATCCACTACCCGCGTCTTTTTCCGTCATTTTTTATCTCAGAAAGTGTTGTACGTCTAACTCTTCATAAAGTTTATCAACTTGTACACCAAGCGCTCAATGTTCCCGTGTGCAAAAATTCCTAATCGTCGGGTTGTTGATTTGGGGAACCCTTACATTTTTGTCCTGTATACGCTCCATGAGTGTTTTTCGGAGAATCCAGTATTTTTCTAGTAAGATTGGATATCTCTACTTTCCATATATACCAAAATTACCATACTTTTATTGGAAATAACCACCCGATAAATACTTTTCTGGGAACCCATCTTTAAGCCGTGAGAAATTCGATGTTTTCCGAAAAATGCAAATCACGCATCGTAACTCTAAACCTAGTAAAATTGACATATTTTCAAAAAAATGCAGACCACAGCTTTAGATGCTGGTATTCCAATATTTGTTAATGTCCATAATTTACGCCCTTAAAATCATTGAGCGATTGAGAAACACATTAAAGATGCATTATGTTTTAACAAGATCTGACATCGACAATTGTTTATTATCATAACAATGGTACATAATGCATCTTTAAACAGAACAGAATTTTTATGTGCTTGTCGAAAGGTCGTAGGTCGTGTTTATAGAATAAATCCAAAAAAATTGCCATAAAAATTGTATTCCGTTTAATCCATAATACACGTTAGATGACCTTGTATATTGCCGTTGAATGGAGTATAAGCCTGCATTCTTGGTTGGATTTTAGGTCTAATGTCATAGAAATTAGAGACATAGGAAATTGAATCCGTAGTTTCCTCACCTTTCCGAAGACCGTGATTCCTTTTCCATTTCGAGGGGCCACTTATCATTAGGTAATTTTTGTCAGTTCATCTATTGGGATTTGCTTGTGGAATACTTGTTGGTACGGAATGCACTTCTCTAATTAATGAAGCCACTTCTCTTGTTTAAAACTGAAC